GTAATGCAGGTGACACAATCTTCCTGAACATGAGGAGGATCTGAAATAGCTCCTGCTGAGGACCAAAGGCCACAGCCTTCAATGTGGGTACATCTCAACATCCAGAAAACAATTTTTGTAAGACACAACAAAAAACCTAAAGAAATAGAAAAATGTGCCCTGTTCATGGTTAGGAAGACTCAATATTGTGAAAATGGCAATCCTACCAAAAGCAATCTACATGTTCAATGCGATCCCAATCCAGATACCAAATTCAGGTTTCAAGAAGATCAAAAGGGAAATTTTCAAATTTATCTGGAAAGAGACAATAAACAAAACACTGTTGAGAAACAAAAATGAGGTTGGAGGCATAGCACTCCCTGACCTCAAAACCTACTACACAGAGGTAGTAACCAACAAAGCATGGTACAGGTACAATGACAGGTACATAGACCAATGGAACAGAATTGAGAATCCAGAAATAGACCCAGATATCCATGGTCAACTGATATTCGAGAAGGAAATCAAAGCTACCAAATGGGGAAATGATAACCTCTTCAACAAATAGTGCTGGCAAAACTGGACTTCCAACTGCAGAAAGCTGAAACAAGATATACATCTCATACGATACACAAAAATCAACTCAAAGTGGATCAGAGACCTGGGAGTAAAGCCCAAAATCATAACGCGCATAAGAGACAAACTGGGATCAAGCTTAGAAGCGCTAGCCCAAGTTACAAAGAGACTGCCAAATACAACCAGAAATGCACAATCTGAAGAGGATAAAATTGATGCATGGGATCTCCTAAAAATTAAATCTATGTTGCATCAAAAACTTTTCCCAGCAGGGTGAAGAGAAAACCTACAGACTGGGAACAAACATTTGATAATACTATCTCAGACAAGAGTCTTATAACAAATGTTTACATAATACTCCTGGGCCTCCGTAAGAAAACAACTGATAATCAAATTACATAATGGGCAAAAGACATGGAAAGAATCTTCCAGAAGAAAATATTTGAATGGCCAACAGACACATGAATAAATGTTCCAAATCACTTGCAATAAGAGAGATGTAAATCAAAACCACAATGAGGTACCATCTCACTCCAGCAACTGTGACAAAGTTTAATAGGGCAGCAAGTAATAAATTTTGGAGAGGATGTGGCGAGAAAGAAACTCTTACACATTGTTGGTAGGGTTGTAAAATGATACAGCCATTCTGGAAGGCAGTTTGGCGCTTCCTCAAAAAGCTAAACATAGAAATTCTATATGACCCAGCTATCCCACTGTTTGGAATATACCCTGAGAAAATGAGAACAGAGGCACAAACTGAGATTTGTACAGCAATGTTCATAGCAGCATTATTCACCATCATAAGAAGATGGAAACAGCACAAATGTCCAACCACAAATAAATGGACTGAGAAATTATGGTACATTCATACAATGGAATATTATACAGCAGGCAGGAGCAATGATTTTGTAAAGTATTACCTAACTCAGTCTGTTGTTTGTTGTTGTTGTTATGTGCCGTCAAGTCGCTTGCGACTCATAGCGACCCTATGTACAACAGCTCTAAACTCTGCTCTGTCCTGTGTCAATCTCATTGCCTCTGACACACTCATCCCGATTGCCCTAGTCACTGAATCAATCCATCTCCCAGAGGGCCTTCCCCTCCTGGGCCTGCCCTCCACCCTCCCAAGCATGATGTCCCTCTCCAAGGACCGGTCTCTCCTTAAAACATGACCAAATTATGTCAGACGAAGCCTCAGAATCCTTGCCTCCAAGGAGCAGCCCGGTTTAACCCTCTCCAGGATGAATCTATTTGTTCTCTTAGCAGTCCATGGCACTTTCAGCACTCTTCTCCAACACCAAAGCTCAAAAGCATCAATTCTCCCTCTATCCTCCCTGGTCGTTGTCCAGCTGTCTGAGGCATAACAAGTGATTGCAAAGACCATGACCTGTACCAGATGCACCTTTGTCTCCAGAGACACACCGTTGCTCTTGAGTACATTAGAGAGGTCCCTAGCAGCAGACTTTCCCATTGCAATACGTCTTTTAATTTCCTGGCTGCTGGTGCCAAGAGTGTTGATTGTGGAGCCAAGCAAACTAAAGCTGTGAACAATCTCAATCTCTTCACCATCCACCCTGATGCTGCCAATTGGTCCAGTGGTGAAAATCTTTGTCTTCTTGACATTGAGCTTCAATCTATATTGAAGGCTGCAGTCCCTGACCCTCAGCAGCAAGCGCTTCAGGTCCTCCTCAGTTTCAGCAAGCAGGGTTGTGTCATTTGCATAACGCAGACTGTTTAAGGATCTTCCACCAATCCTGGTGCCACAATTCTCATAGAGTCCAGCCTCCCGGATGATCTGTTCTGCATACAGGTTGAAAAAGTATGGAGACAGGACACATCCCTGGCGTAGACAAATACTGTATAAAACTATTATTGTAGAATGAGTATAAGGATCCAAGAGTGTCTGGGGAGGTTTGAAGCAGAGGGATGAGGATGTGGGGGGAGGGGGAGATTAACCAAGGGGTTGTACAATTTGATGGGTAGAGGGGTGAGGGGAAATTGAAAGAAAATACTACAAGAAAGTAATACTGGTGGTCAAGGAGATGGTCTGGGATGGGGCAGGATTTTTTTCTCTTGTACATGGGATCACTTTGAGCAAGCACCAAGTTAATGACAATTGAAAATAACAACACTTTCACTGGGATTAACTCCAAATTCCAAGTTGGGGGGAAAAAAGTTTGGAAACCATCCTATCTGAAATAAGAGGGGAGTATTAGGCAAAATAGTAATTATTTTTATAAAATATTTTGCTTAATTAAATTTATTCAGGTATATTTTTTTTAAAAAAATCTCATCTCTGGGCCAACAGGCAACATCATTCTAGATGAGAAGAGAAATTTTCAAATACTTCTTCTTGCTTGGATTCACAATCAACACTCATGTCACCATCAGCCAGGAAATCAAAAGATATACTGCAGTGGGAAAGTTTATCAAGGACCCCACCCAAGGGCTGAAGAGCAAAGATGTCAACTTGAAGATGAAGATGTACTCGATCCAAACATGACCTTTTCAATGACTTGCTTTGCATCCAAAAACTGGACAATGAATAGGATGACAGAAGAATGGTTGCCTTTAAGCTGTGGTGTTGGAAAAGAGTACTGACTATCCATGGACTCCCAAAAGGACAATTAAATCCTGGGAAATGTGTAGGCAAGATGCTTCTAGGAGGCAAAGATGGTGAAACTTGATCTCACACCCTTTGGGCATGTTTTTGGGAGAGGCCAGTCCTTGTGAAAGAACATCAGGCTTGGGAAGATAGAGGGTCACCTAAGAAGGAGACCCTCAAAGAGATGGACTGACACAGATTGACCCAGTCACTGCATCTATGGACAAGTATTTCACAGGATAGGGCAAATCCATGGTTCACAGGGTCCCAGGGAGTTTCAATAGAATCCAAGGCATTTTCCACCACCAACAAACACCTTGGCCCATGGGCTTTAGTATTTGCTCCATCATCTCTTTTGTATGTCAAAAAACTTAGACTTAAGACATACCCTATGCTAATACTGTCTAATCAACATAACAATGAAAACCATTTACACAAAGGAGCTAGGGTAAGGATTTATAACACCTATTTTGAATGTACTGTGGAAAGTACCATTAAAGAAACTTTAAGGGAGGGGAAGGCTACTGCTCAAAAGTGAGTTTTTAAAGAGGTCAATAATGTAACGTTTTTTTCCTGGCAAACAAAAAAAGCAAAGAGCTGCAAACAATTTATACATTTACCTCTGGCGCCCTCTGGTGGTCATCCAAACGTCCGATGCGGGAGGGTTACTCTGATAATTAAGCATTTTGATACACAGTATCTTGGAGAGTCCTATTGTTAATTCATAGATTAAACTATTTTTTATGCTATTTCATAAAGATGAATGGACTGTCTTTGGGAAATGTTGGAATAAATTCTTTTAAAATCTAGAAATACGCTGAGGTCATTAAACTGTGTTCTGAGTGTGTGAGTGTGTGTGTGTGTGTGTGTGTGTGTGTGTGTGTGTGTGTGTGTGTG